GACAGGGATGATACTTATACTAGGTGCTAGAGTGGGATTGGGATGGTGCTTATACAAGGTGCTAGAGTGGGACAGGGATGGTGCTTATACTAGGTGCTAGAGTGGGACAGAGATGGTGCTTATACTAGGTGCTAGAGTGGGACAGGGATGGTGCTTATACTAGGTGCTAGAGAGGGACAGGGATGGTGCTTATACTAGGTGCTAGAGTGGGACAGAGATGGTGCTTATACTAGGTGCTAGAGTGGGACAGGGATGGTGCTTATACTAGGTGCTAGAGTGGGACAGGGATGGTGCTTATACTAGGTGCTAGAGTGGGACAGGGATGGTACTTATACTAGGTGCTAGAGTGGGATAGGGATGGTGCTTATACTAGGTGCTAGAGTGGGACAGGGATGGTACTTATACTAGGTGCTAGAGTGGGACAGGGATGGTGCTTATACTATGTGCTAGAGTGGGACAGGGATGGTACTTATACTAGGTGCTAGAGTGGGACAGGGATGGTACTTATACTAGGTGCTAGAGTGGGATAGGGATGGTGCTTATACTAGGTGCTAGAGTGGGACAGGAATGGTACTTATACTAGGTGCTAGAGTGGGACAGGGATGGTACTTACTTATACTAGGTGCTAGAGTGGGACAGGGATGATACTTATACTAGGTGCTAGAGTGGGACAGGGATGGTACTTATACTAGGTGCTAGAGTGGGAGATGGTGCTTATACTAAGTGCTAGAGTGGGACAGGGATGGGACTTATACTAGGTGCTAGAGTGGGACAGAGATGGTGCTTATACTAGGTGCTAGAGTGGGACAGGGATGGTACTTATACTAGGTGCTAGAGTGGGACAGGGATGGTGCTTATACTAGTGCTAGAGTGGACAGGGATGGTACTTATACTAGGTTCTAGAGTGGGACAGGGATGGTACATACTAGGTGCTAGAGTGGGACAGGGATGCTCTATTATAGTGCTAGATGGGACAGGATGGGACTATACTAGTGCTAGAGTGGGACAGGGATGGGACTTATACTAGGTGCTAGAGTGGACAGGGATAGGTACTTATACTAGGTGCTAGAGTGGGACAGGATGGGACTTTACTAGGTGCTAGAGGGACAGGGATGGGACTTATACTAGGTGCTAGAGTGGGACAGGGATGGTACTTATACTAGGTGCTAGAGTGGGACAGGGATGGTGCTTATACTAGGTGCTAGAGTGGGACAGGGATGGTACTTATACTAGGTGCTAGAGTGGGACAGGGATGGGACTTATACTAGGTGCTAGAGTGGGACAGGGATGGGACTTATACTAGGTGCTAGAGTGGGACAGGGATGGGACTTATACTAGGTGCTAGAGTGGGACAGGGATGGGACTTTATATAGGTGCTAGAGTGGGACAGGGATGGGACTTATACTAGGTGCTAGAGTGGGACAGGGATGGTACTTATACTAGGTGCTAGAGTGGGACAAGGATGGTACTAATACTAGGTGCTAGAGTGGGACAGGGATGATGCTTACTAAGTGCTAGATGCCTGATGGCTAAAGCTTCCACTTCACACACGGAGGGCCCGGGTTCGATTCCCGGCGGGTGGAAACATTTCGACATGTTTCCTTACACCTGTTGTCCTGTTCACCTAGCAGCAAATAGGTACCTGGGTGTTAGTCGACTGGTGTGGGTGGCATCCTGGGGGACAAGATTAAGGACCCCAATGGAAATAAGTTAGACAGTCCTCAATGATGCACTGACTTTCTTGGGTTACCCTGGGTGGCTAACCCTCCAGGGTTAAAAATCCAATGAAAATCCTATCTTATTTTACCTATGTCTCTTCCACTATAACATTCACACTGCCGAAAATGCTCAGGCAAGTTAGTGGCTTTCTTACCAGTACAGTGGTATCTTGGGATACGAACATAATTTGTTCCAGAAGGACGTTCGAGTGCCGATACCGAACGAATTTGTTTCCATGAGGAATAATATAAATTAGATTATTCTGTTTCAGACCCCCAAAAGTACACTTACAAAAGCACTTACATAAATACACTTACATAATTGTTCGAGTTTTGAGCTGTTCGTACCCTGAGGTACCACTGTATTTTATAACATATAATTCACATATTGTATACTATGCAAAGAAATAAAATTTTGAATTTGAATATTGAATTATTACTAATTATTATAATTATTATTATTATTATTATTATTACTAATTTTTTCTCAAATCGGCCATCTCCCACTGAGGCAGTGCGACCCAAGAAAGAAGCACTGACACCATCACTCACTCCATCACTGCCTTGCTAGAGGTGTGGTGATACTACAGTTCAAGAATTGCAAATCACCCCCTCCCCCCTCTGGGCCAATCCTTCAGAGTGCAGACATTGTACTTCCCACCTCCAGGACTCAAGTCCGGCTAACCAAGTTCCCTGAATCCATAAATATCACCTTGCACACACTCCAACAACATGCCAAGTCTTTATAAAAACCACTTGGCTCCATTCACTCACATCTAACATGCTCACACGTGCTTGCTGGATGTCTAAGCCCATCACACCCAAAACCTCCTCTAATATTATTATTACCAAAAAATGCTCCCATATGGGTATACAGTGGTACCTTGGGATACAAACAGCTCAAAACTCAAACAATTATGTAAGTGTACTTATGTAAGTGATTTTCTAAGTGCATTTTTGGGGGTCTGAAATGGATTAATCTAATTTACATTATTCCTTAAGGTGGCCCGGTGGCCTGGTGGCTAAAGCCCCCGCTTCACACACGGAGGGCCCGGGTTCGATTCCCGGCGGGTGGAAACATTTCGACACGTTTCCTTACACCTGTTGTCCTGTTCACCTAGCAGCAAATAGGTACCTGGGTGTTAGTCGACTGGTGTGGGTCGCATCCTGGGGGACAAGATTAAGGACCCCAATGGAAATAAGTTAGACAGTCCTCGATGACGCACTGACTTTCTTGGGTTATCCTGGGTGGCTAACCCTCCGGGGTTAAAAATCCGAACGAAATCTTATCTTATCTTATCTTAACAAATTCATTCAGTACCAGAACTTGAACATCCTTCTGGAATGAATTAAATTCATATCCCGCGGTACCACTGTACATATACATACAACACAGTAATATGAATTATCCAAAGTAAAAGGACACAAGTGCAACTAATGTGAAATTTTATTGTGGCAACGTTTCGCTCTCCAGGAGCTCCTGGAGAGTGAAACGTTGCCACAATAAAATGTCACATTAGTTGCACTTGTGTCCTTTTACTTTACATATTGTCGGTAATTCTACCAACATTATTCCAGATTCTCCTCCACCACGATGCTGTGAACACTAACACCAAGGCCGAGGGACTGATTACCTCATCTTTTGTATATAGTTCTACTGTCTTCCTATTATGTACTAGAATCTGTATTGATAAAGCCACTGGATGGCAAAATGTCTACAATAAAGATATCCAGATGTTGCACATGTGTCTTAACTTTCAACATTATTACACATGAATTATCCAAGAGTATGAAATAACTGAGGTGTACAAGTTTGGGATAAGTAAAATATTCCCTCCGGTCAAATACAATACTAGGTAAACTAGATATGAAAGTCTGTATGAATAAAAAAAATACGTACTAATATTAACGAATTTAGAACGGAAAGCTTCGTGTGATATAAACACTGAATATCTTGGTTCGTATTTGTTAGTTTTGTAAACCTGTAATTAGGTTCCTGGGTGTTAGTTACCTTACACCTGCTGTACCTGTTCCCTTAGAAATAAGTAAGAACCTGGGTGTTAGTGGACTGGTGTGGGTGGCATCCTGGGTGTTAGTGGACTGGTGTGGGTGGCATCCTGGGTGTTAGTGGACTGGTGTGGGTGGCATCCTGGGTGTTAGTAGACTGGTGTGGGTGGCATCCTGGGTGTTAGTAGACTGGTGTGGGTGGCATCCTGGGTGTTAGTGGACTGGTGTGGGTGGCATCCTGGGTGTTAGTGGATTGGTGTGGGTGGCATCCTGGGTGTTAGTGGACTGGTGTGGGTGGCATCCTGGGTGTTAGTGGACTGGTGTGGGTGGTATCCTGGGTGTTAGTGGACTGGTGTGGGTGGCATCCTGGGTGTTAGTGGACTGGTGTGGGTGGCATCCTGGGGGACAAGATTGAAGGACCACAGTGGAAATAGGACAGACAGTCCTTGATGACGCACTGACTTTCTTGAATTATCCTGGGTGGCTAACCCTCCCAACCCTAGGTTATCCTGGGTGGCTAACTGTTACCCTGGGTTATCCATGATGGTTAATACTCTCTACCTTGTGTTACCTCTGGGAAATACTTGGGTAGCTCTGGATATACTTGGGTAGCTCTGGGTATACTTGGGTAGCTCTGGGTATACTTGGGTAGCTCTGGGTATACTTGGGTAGCTCTGGGTATATTTGGGTAGCTCTGGGTATACTTGGGTAGCTCTGGGTATACTTGGGTAGCTCTGGGTATACTTGGGTAGCTCTGGGTATACTTGGGTAGCTCTGGGTATACTTGGGTAGCTCTGGGTATACTTGGGTAGCTCTGGGTATACTTGGGTAGCTCTGGGAAATACGTACTTAGCTCTGGGTATAAGTTAGGCAAATATATAGCTGGGAGAAGTTGGATTTTAAAAGGACCTGCCTAGTATTGGCCTGTAGGCCTACCTCACCATTTCTATAATATCATGTATCTTTATTTCTATGAGTACATGTACAAGATATATAGGCCTAGCTGACATCATTGATATACTACTGTATAGAAAGCTGCTTGTTATACAGAGCATTTCAGGCAAATTAGGTTAATTTTGTCCCAGGATGCAACCCACACCAGTCCACTAACACCCAGGTACCCACTGTACTGATGGGTGAACATAGGCAACCGGTGTAAAGAAACACGCTCAATGTTTCTACCCTTGCCAGGAATCAAACCCGGACACTCATCATGTGAAATAAGAGCTTTAGCCAATAGGCCACGAGTAATGTGCCATAGGAGCAACAACGTACCAATGTTGAGGTCGTAGTAAGTGACGAGGCCGGTGACAAACTCACAGTAGAGGAAGTTGTGAGTCTCGTTGATAGTGCGCACACACCAGTACGTGTTGTTGGCAGCGTTCATACAGAAGCAGAACTTCCCATCTGAAAAATATATTTTTACAAACAGTAATGATAATATAATAATAATAATACGTTGAAGATTGAGACACTTATGCAACATATACGAATCTTTATTAAGGAAACGTTTCGCCACACAGTGTCTTCATCAGTCCAATACAAAGTAGAAATGGGCTATGAGAGGAGGAGTTTGAGATAATCAGTCCCTCAGCCTGGAATCAATGTGTTCAGTCCATCAGTCTTGTAGAAAGTGCAGCATATGGCCTTAGAAGTGGCTTATGTACTGTAGTCAGGTGAGTGGAAGCAGGAGGAGGCAGGATCACAGTGGGACCATCCACTAGTGTAAGTAGGTCTTCGTCCAAAGGTTGGTCAAGTATTGAAGAATTTCTTGTATCATGATCCCATCATGTTGCAGTGTCTGACAGATGTGATAAATGGTTTTGAAAACCAACAAGTTGAAGACTGAGACACTTTTGCAACATACGGGAATCTTTATTTAGGAAACGTTTTCTCAATAAAGCTTCCCATATGCTACATAAGTGTCTCAATCTTCAACTTGTCGGTTTTCAAAACCATATATCACATAATAATAATGCATACCTACAAGTACAAGTATACAAGGTATATAGACCATATCCGACATCAATGACATACTACTATAGCCGGGGGTGGTACCGCCATCTATTACTCTAATGAACTATCATGTTGTAACACCACTTGTTGTAATGATGAATATGGAGAATACATTTTTACAAATTTTACTGTATAAAACCATATGACTCCAATAACAATCAGTGCAATTTACCGAATGCCTCATATAAACATCCCAAATTTTAGCGATAAACTAAAGACACTAATAACAAATAACCAAATGAACAAGCGCCGCCACCTCCTAGCCGGAGACTTCGACATCAACTTTGGCTTAACAGGTGACCAGCCAGTAACTGATTTCATCAACAATATGAATACACTAATACCAGTTATAACAAAACCAACCAGGCTAACTAAAACAAGTCAACCATGACCATATATGGACTAATATACTAGCTCCCCTTAAGTCAGGGATAATCACAGACGGCACTACTGACCACTACCTTACCTTCCTCTTAACATTGGTAAACAACCACTTGAATACAACAAGGTCTCTTTTAGACTCCATGATGAGGCCTCAATAAGTAACTTCACAACAGAGCTAGGTACGGTTGACTGGCATGCAGAATTCCCCAATGCGAATGCTATCGGTGATTGTATAGACATATTTCTTAACAAATTACTTGGACTATGTAACAAACTCTGTCCCATAAAAACTAAACAGATTATGAATAAACGGCTAGGTTGCTCATGGCTAATTAACAGCATACTAAGAACCATTGATAAGAAACATAAATATGAAAAGCAATATAGACAGGGCTTAATACACAAAGATATTAAACATTATGCATCAGTGCCCACTAAACCAAAAAGAAAATCTAAGCAATTGTACTACTCCATTAGATTCACCGATACAAGAGGAGATATAAAAAAGACCTGGAAGACTCTCTCAGATTCTGGGAATCCACAAACTTAAAAAACTAGGGAGATTGTCCTAACTAAACCTAATGAAACACAATTATAGCCTACTGATACAGTTAACAAGACAAATGACTTCTTCTCAACCATACGATCAAATCTCGCCAGCAAAATCCCAGGTACCAGTGCCCGAGCAAGTGATTACTTAGATGGGATTTTCCCAATCTCCTTCTGTCTTGCACCACCCGAGCCCACAGAAGTCATCACGATTATTAAGTCTCTTAAAAATAAATCAGGAAATCTGGCTTAAGTCCCGCCACTATTGTATAAACGAGCGGTTCATGTTCTTTCACCTGCTATTTCATTATTTTTTAACAAATCACTAGAAACCAGCACTTTTCCGACACCACTCAAGACAGCAAGGGTTACACCAATACACAAACGTGGTGACCCCCACACATGTAAACAACAACAGGCAATATCAAACTTACCACTGCTATCCAAAGTCTTCGAGAAACTTGTGTGCAAGAGATTATATTCCTTTAAAACAGTATAAAGCATCCTCAACCCCTGGCAATTTGGCTTCAGGAAAAATAAAAAAATAAAATAAAAATAAAAACACAAATGTTGTAATTGTAAAAATGCTAGATCTGCTTTACACAGCACTTAAAAAAATGAATATCCATTAGGATTCTTTATTGACCTAAGGAAAGCTTTTGACACAGTAGACCACGACATCCTACTCCACAAACTTGATCATTATGGTATAAGAGGCCATGCACTTACATATTTCAAATCCTACTTTACTAACAGGTACCAATACATCTCTATTAAGGACACAACCTCATCAACAAGACCACTTGATACTGGAGTGCCTCAGGTAAGTGTCCTTGGTCCCCTGCTCTTCCTCTTAAACATCAATAATCTTCCTAATGTATCACAAAACCTTAAACCTATTCTCTTTGCTGACAACACGACTTATGTCATTTCCCACCCTAATCTTACCTCACTCAACACCATTGTTAACGAGGAGCTAGTAAAAATATCAACCTGGATGACTGCTAATAAACTTACGCTTATTATTGATAAAATCTTCTACATTATGTCTGGGAACAGAACAGGTGTTTCCCAGTTGAACATTATGGCTGACAACACTCTTATTGCTAAACATAATGAGGCCAAATTCCTAGGCCTGCATATAGATAGCAACCTGAAATTCAACACCCATAACCAACACGTAACAAAGAAGTATCCAGAAGTCAGGGAGGATCTGTATAACTTTTACTATTAAGATACATATTTGAAATAAGTCACTCAAAATATGTTTTATATTAATGGGGATGTAGTTAGCCCATAAATGCCATGAGCATCAAGTGGGGAAAAATGATCCCTCTATTTTTTTTTCTTGTAAGTGGGGAGAGGAAATGAGGAGTGATCCAGGGAAGAGTACTCAAATTCCTTTGATCAACATGTATACACTTACATCAAGACAGATTACCCTTGAAGGGTAACTAACCAGTGGCGGCTCGTCATAGGAGCTGCAGAGCTGCAGTTTCCCCAGATGCTCACTGCCAGATGTATGACTTCAACCTTACGCTAAAATATTGTAACTTGCAATTGAAAAATATATTACAGGAAAAATCTGTTGTATGTTGTTTTCAATGTATTTATAAGCGAATTTTTAATTTTTTGGTTGAAACGAGATAAAAAATGATTAAGAATAGAAGTTTGATGCGGTATGATAGTATAGGTATTACTAGCGCTACGAGCCGCCACTGTAACTAACACACAAGACAGGTTACCCTTGAAGGGTAACTCTACCATACAAGACAAGTTAACCTTGAAGGGTAACTAACATAAAAGACAGATTACCCTTGAAGGTAACACTGCCATACCTGTGCATGTGTACAAGGATCAACTCACCATGCCAGAGGGGCGGTGTACGCCAGTGATCGTTGTCGTGGGTGTAACAATTAAGCATTGTGTAATTACACTGTGCTAAATTATTTTTCAACTTCCTCATCTTCTTCTTCTCCTTCAACAGTCGTCGCTCCAGCTTCACTCGCTGTCGTTCCTGCCGCAACTTCAGCCGCTCTTCCCGCTTTCTCTGTCGTTCCGCTTGCTTGATTTCTAATCGAAAACTGAAGTGTGATTGCCAATTAATAACAATAATAATAATTCACAAAATCATAATATGATTTTTTAAATATTCAAAATATTGAAAAGTATAGAAAAATGTGCTAAAACATTATTTTAATGCATTTTTCAGTGACTCAATGTGGTTGAGCCATTTTCTGACATTCCTCAAATTTTGGCTAAATTATGAATAAGACAACTGTAAAAAAAAACAAAACAAATGCCAATAATGGCCGGCCGGCAAAGATCTCGCTTCACACATGGAGGGCCCGGGTTCAATTCCTGGTGGGGCAGAAAAATTTCAACGCGTTCCCTTACACCTGTTGTCCTGTTCACCTAGCAGCAAGTAGGTACCTGGGTGTTAGTTGACTTGTGTGGGTGGCATCCTGGGGGACAAGATTGAGGACCCCAATCGATACACCAGGAATACCGTTTGTTTGTGTAATAAAACACCAGGAATGACTGTTTTCCTTTATCAAGCAATACATTACTGTATTCTGAGGAATAATTAAAATTTACCCAACACAAAATTTGCAACACAATCCTATTTCAGATGGTAAATGATCTATTTAATGTATTTATGGGTTAGCAGGCCAGCAGCAGCAACATCCTGGTTGACCAGGCCAGCACCAGAGGAGCCTGGCCCATGGCCGGGCTCTAAGAGTAGAAAAACTCTCGAAACTCATCAAAGCTATAACGAAGTTGGGCCAGTATTGGTGATTGTGATGGATGGTGATTGTGATGGATGGTGATTGTGATGGATGGTGATTGTGATGGATGGTGATTGTGATGGATGGTGATTGTGATGGATGGTGATTGTGATGGATGGTGATTGTGATGGATGGTGAGTTGTGATGGATGGTGATTGTGATGGATGGTGATTGTGATGGATGGTGATTGTGATGGATGGTGATTGTGATGGATGGTGATTGTGATGGATGGTGATTGTGATGGATGGTGATTGTGATGGATGGTGATTGTGATGGATGGTGATTGTGATGGATGGTGATTGTGATGGATGGTGATTGTGATGGATGGTGATTGTGATGGATGGTGATTGTGATGGATGGTGATTGTGATTGTTCTGCTGTGATCATAACAATAATGGACAACTGAGGAACTAACAAATTTTGCTTCCAAATCAACTGGCCCAGTGGAAGGCCATTAAACTGACCCAGTGGAAGGCCATTAAACTGACCCAGTGGAAGGCCATTAAACTGGCCCAGTGGAAGGCTATTAAACTGGCCCAGTGGAAGGCTATTAAACTGGCCCAGTGGAAGGCCATTAAACTGGCCCAGTGGAAGGCCATTAAACTGGCCCAGTGGAAGGCCATTAAACTGACCCAGTGGAAGGCCATTAAACTGGCCCAGTGGAAGGCTATTAAACTGGCCCAGTGGAAGGCTATTAAACTGGCCCAGTGGAAGGCCATTAAACTGGCCCAGTGGAAGGCCATTAAACTGACCCAGTGGGAAGGCTATTAAACTGGCCAGTGGAAGGCCATTAAACTGACCCAGTGGAAGGCTATTAAACTGGCCCAGTGGAAGGCCATTAAACTGACCCAGTGGAAGGCCATTAAACTGACCCAGTGGAAGGCCATTAAACTGACCCAGTGGAAGGCCATTAAACTGACCCAGTGGAAGGCCATTAAACTGACCCAGTGGAAGGCCATTAAACTGACCCAGTGGAAGGCCATTAAACTGACCCAGTGGAAGGCCATTAAACTGACCCAGTGGAAAGGCCATTAAACTGACCCAGTGGAAGGCCATTAAACTGACCCAGTGGAAGGCCATTAAACTGACCCAGTGGAAGGCCATTAAACTGGCCCAGTGGAAGGCCATTAAACTGGCCCAGTGGAAGGCCATTAAACTGGCCCAGTGGAAGGCCATTAAACTGACCTAGTGGATGGCTATTAAACTGGCCCAGTGGAAGGCCATTAAACTGGCCTAGTGGATGGCTATTAAACTGGCCCAGTGGAAGGCCATTAAACTGGCCTAGTGGATGGCTATTAAACTGACAAAGTGGAAAGCCATTAAACTGGCCCAGTAGATAGCCATTAAACTGGCCCAGTGGAAGGCCATTAAACTGACCCAGTGGAAGGCTATTAAACTGGCCCAGTGGAAGGCCATTAAACTGACCCAGTGGAAGGCCATTAAACTGACCCAGTAGAAGGCCATTAAACTGACCCAGTGGAAGGCCATTAAACTGACCCATTGGAAGGCCATTAAACTGACCCAGTGGAAGGCCATTAAACTGACCCAGTGGAAGGCCATTAAACTGACCCAGTGGAAGGCCATTAAACTGACCCAGTGGAAGGCCATTAAACTGACCCAGTGGAAGGCCATTAAACTGACCCAGTGGAAGGCCATTAAACTGACCCAGTGGAAGGCCATTAAACTGATGCCCACTCAATCAAGTGTATACAGTAATTTTTATCGTCTTCTTAAGCGACTCCCTAGTCAAGGTAAGGGTGTCACTATCTGGTCTCCCATCCAGTTACTAGCCACACCCTAATGGACCTAATCTTACTGAGTGGAACAGATTTTAGTACTAAGCGACTCCCTAGTCAAGGTAAGGGTGTCACTATCTGGTCTCCCATCCATTTTACTAGCCACCCCTATGGACCAATCATATAAAAGTTTATACAGAAGTTTTTGAGGTCAAAAGTGCCCCCAAATAACACTTAAAATTTTTACTTTCAGTTCCCCTAAAATCCACACTATCATGGATCCAAAATCTCAATCACATAACAAGTATCACTACAGAAATTACTACATATCCAAAAAGCTAACAAACAGTATACTACAAATAAGAATTTAATCCCCACATGAGCTTAACCAAAATTCCCCCGGTTTTGGTCCACAAAACAAAAGGGGAATGCATGCTGATTGGTAATTTCCCTTCCGGGAATCTAGAGCCCTCTTCATTTGGTATCCATTGTTTAAAGTCATGTGACCTTGTGTCTTCATTAGTTTGGGCATGCCTTTTTTCTTAGTGCAGCAGAAATTTCTAAATTTGAAATTTTCTCCGAAACCCCACTCTTTTGTTGGCGGGGTAACCACTGGTTTGCTTCGTCCAAGGCTTTGAGTCCCATTACCTTTGTCCCATAAAAATACGTCAATTACTTATAATGTTTTGCCCCCAAAAATTAACCTTACAAACACTAAAATAATTAAATTTAAGTTTTACTTTCGTTCCAATCCCCTGTTTTATTAACCCTCTACCTTACAGGTGGGTCCCACTCAATTCCCCAAAAGAATTGACTTCCAATCAAACAATACACATAGCAGCCCATAACAATCCCTTAAACCAAATCCACCCAATTTTGTTTACTTCCGTTGTCCCTAGGTAAAATTACTTATTTTTCTTTTAATTAGTGATTTTATCTCACTTACATTTACTCATCATATTCCATCCTCAATACAATTACATATTTTGCTTAACCAACACCTTTTAACTGTTCTCCCACAACATTACCTTTAACTTTCTCCCTCATAACAATTACTTACTTTCCCCTCATAACAAATCCCTACTTCCCCCATAACATTCACCTTTACTCTTCCCCTCATACAATCCCCTTTAAACTTCCTCAAACAATCCCTTATTCCCTCATAACAATCCCTTACTTCCCCTCATAAAATTCCCTTACTTCCCCTCATAACAATCCCTTACTCTCCCCTCATAACAATCGCCTTACTTCCCCCTCATAACAATCACTTTACTTCCCCAATAACAATCACCTTACTTCCCTCATAACAATCACCTTACTCTCCCCTCATAACAATCACCTTACCCCCCTCATAACAATCCCTTACTTCCCCTCATAACATCACCTTACTTCCCCTCATAACAATCACCTTACTTTCCCCCCTCATAACAATCGCCTTACTTCCCCTCATAACAATCACCTTACTTCCCCTCATAACAATCACCTTACTCTTCCCCTCATAACAATAACCTAACTTCCCCTCAAACAATCACCTTACTTCCCCTCATAACAATCCCTTACTTCCCCTCATAACAATCCTTTACTTTCCCCCTCATAACAATCGCCTACTTCCCTCATAACAATCCCCTTACTTCCCCCTCATAAATCACTTACTCCCCATAAAAACCCTTACTTCCCCCTCATAACAATCACCTTACTTCCCCCTATACAATCGCCTTACTTCCCCTATAACAATTCGCTTTAAACTCCCCCTCATAAAAATCCCTTTACTTCCATCATAACAATCACCTTACTTTCCCCTCATAACAAACCCCAAACTTCCCTCATACAATCACCTTACTTCCCCTCATAACAATCACCTTACTTCCCCTCTTTAAACAACCCACTTACTTCCCTCATAACAATCACCTTACTTCCCCTCATAACACATCCCTTCTCTTCCCCTCATAACATCACCTTACTTCCCCTAAATAACAATCGCCTTACTTTTCCCCTCATAACAATCCCTTACTTCCCTAAACAATCCTTTATTCCCCCTCATAACAACCCCTTTACTTCCCCTCATAACAATCCCTTTACTCTCCCCCTCAAAACAATCACCCTTACTTCCCCTCATAACAATCTCCTTATTTCCCCACCATAACATCACCTTATTCCCCAAAAAATCCCTTACTTCCCTCATACCAATCACCTTACTTCCCCTCATAACAATCACCTTACTTCCCCCCTAACAATCACCTTACTTCCCCTCATAACAATCCCCCTTACTTTCCCTCAAACAATCCCTTACTTCCCCTCATAACAATCACCTTACTTCCCCTCATAACAATCACCTTACTTTCCCCTCATAACAATCACCTTATTTCCCCCTAATAAAAATCCCTTATTCCCCTCATAACAATCCGCCTTATTCCCCTCATAAAATCCCCTTACTCTCCCCTCATAACAATCCCCTTACTTCCCCTAAATAACAATCACCTTACTTCCCCTCATAACAATCCCCTTTAAATTCCCCTCATAACAATCACCTTACTTCCCCTCATAACAATCCCTTACTTCCCCTCATAACAATCACCTTACTTCCCTCATAACCAATCACCTTATTTCCCCCTCATAACAACACCTTATTTTCCCCCTCATAACAATCACCTTACTTCCCCTCATAACAATCACCTTACTTTCCCTCATAACAATCGCCTTACTTCCCCTCATAACAATCACCTTACTTCCCCTCATAACAATCCCTTACTTCCCCTCATAACAATCCCTTATTTCCCCTCATAACAACCCTTTTTTACTTCCCCTCATAACAATCGCCTTACTTCCCCTCATAACAATCCCTTACTCTCCCCCTCATAAACAATCACCTTACTTCCCCTCATAACAATCACCTTACTTCCCCCATAACAATCACCTTACTTCCCCTCATAACAATCCTTACTTCCCCTCATACCAATCCCTTACTCCCCTCATAACAATCACCTTATTCCCCAAAAACAACACTTACTTCCCCTCAAACAATCCCTATTTTCCCTCCAATCCTTACTTCCCTCTAAACAATCACCTTACTTCCCCTCATAAAAATCACCTTACTCTCCCCTCATAACAATCACCTTACTTCCCCTCATAACAACACCTACTTCCCCTCATAACATCCCTTACTTCCCCTCATAACAATACCTTTACTATCCCCCTTCATAACAATCGCCTTACTTCCCCTCATAACAATCACCTTACTTCCCCTCATAACAATCACCTACTTCCCCTCATAACAATCGTTTTACTATCCCCCCTCATAACAATCGCCTTACTTCCCCTCATAACAATCACCTTACTTCCCCTCAAAAACAATCACCTTACTTCCCCTCATAACAATCACCTTACTTCCCCTCTAACAATCGCCTTACTTCCCTCATAACAACCACCTTTCCCCTCATAACAATCCCTTATTTCCCCTCATACATCACTTATCCCCAAACCCCTATTTCATCATCCTCTCCCTCTAAATCACCTTACTTCCCCTCATAACAATTCACCTTATTTCCCCCTCATAAAAATCACCTTACTTCCCCTCATAACAACCCTTACTTCCCCTCATAACAACCCACCTTACTTCCCTCATAACAATCACCTTACTCCCCTCATAAAAATACCACCCCCTACCCCTTACCCCTCATAACAACCACCTTACTTCCCCTCATAACAATCCGCCTTATTTCCCCTCATAACAACCCTTACTTCCCTCATAACAATCACCTTTACTTCCCCTCATAACAATCACCTTACTTCCCCTCATTAACAATACCTACTTCCTCTTAACAACCACCTTATTGTTCCCCTCATAAAACCACCACTTTCATTTACAGTATAAAACAAACTTATTTCCCCTTAACTTTCTTCCCTCATTAACAATCACCTTAAACTTCCCTCTTTTAACAACCACCTTACTTCCCTCAATAACAATCACTTTACTTCCCCTCATAACAATCACCTTTCTTCCCCCATAAAACCCTTACTTCCCTATAAAAAACCTTACTTCCCTAAAACAATCCCCTTTAACTTCCCCTCAAACAATCACCTAACTTCCCCTCATAACAATCCCCTTACTTCCCCTCATAACAAACACTTACTTCCCTTCATAACAATCACTCAACTTTCCCCTCATAACAATCACCTTACTTCCCCTCTAAAAAACACCTTACTTTCCCCTCATAACAATCACCTTACTTCCCCCTTACTAACCCTTACTCCCTCATAACAATCATTTACTTCCCCTCATAACATCACCTTTCTTCCCTCATAACAATACCTTACTTCCCTCATAACAATACAACTCTTCCCTATAAAAATCACCAACTTTACCTATAAAATACTTACAGTCCCCTCTTTCATCACCTTATTCCCGCATAACATATTCCCCCTTCAAAACAATCCTTTTTC